GTGCCTGAGTCACCTCCCCAACCCCGTGCGGAAGTCGGCATCTCAGGGCAGAGAGAGCGCGTGCACCATCGTGGAAATCACAGTGTCTCCCACCTCTTTGCACTCTCCCTAGAAGGCCTTTGGCTGCCGTCTGGTGGTCCCCAGCATGGTCCGAGAACCACACAGGTGTCTCACTAGGACACCCTATGGAGAGGCCAGGCAGTGCGGGTTCTAGACAGATACTCTGAGGTCAAAGCCACGTCCAACCCCTCCCATCAGCTGAGTGACCTCAGGCAAACCCCAAAACCTCTGGGAGCCTGTTTCAGCCTCCGTGAAATGGAAAGTCTCTGCCATGGATTGAATGACGTACATCAGCCATGCCCCCAATAATTGTTCATCTCTTCCTTGCTTTACCTTTTCCCAAAACAAAGCCTAAGCAGATCGTTTTTAGGGAACAAAGGGACCCAGCCACTTCCTTGACAAGGCAGATGCTTCACTGACTCAGCCACCCAGGCGCCCCATCCCTTCGTTATTTACTGGGCCTCCCTGACACTCGCGCCACCACCAGGGACAGGCGGTCCCCGCGGGTGGTGGGCTCAGCCCCTCCTGGGCCAGGTTGCGACCCTGGACTCTCCAGCCTGCCTCCCCTCCACCTCCCCAGAGGAGCTTTATTTCCTTGTCCACCAACCAGGCCTTTTCCTGGCACCTGCGCATTCCACCTGCTCCCTGGCTGGTACTTTCATCTTGTCGGAGTCACAGCCAAGTTCCAGCCACAGGGTGGCTCTCTCCTCCCCCTCTCCTTTCTTCTAAGACAGAACCCTGTCCTAACCGGGGGATTCTCCCGGCTTCTGTCCCAGGGGCTGGCCTCCCTCCACTCTTGGGCCTGTCAGCCTGACCACTGCGCATAAAACTCACCCCAAGGTGAATAACTCTGTGTTGTTGTCTTAGAACCGGCCCCCCAGACTGTGGCCGCGAGGGATGCAGCAGACACAGAACTGGGTGCCGACGAAGATCTGGAGACCATCAAACTGGAGGTGGAGGAGAAGTTCTTCATCGACGTACGTAAATAGCTGCGTCTGCAGAGAGGGGTCTGCTTCACAGTTGGTATCAGATCACACAGAAACCCTCCAAATCCGCACTAACTGAAGTGTGCTCCATGGTCAACGGGCCTGGCATCCCCGAGACCCTCAGGCCAGACCGGCCCTGTAACACGATCTCCCCGGGTGTTCATACACGTGCACCTTCGAGACTGAGCGATGCTGGTCCCGGTGTCCCCCTCCAGCTCCCTCTGCAAAACTGGTTTCGTTTTCCCCAAAGTCACACGGCAAAGCAACTCTGTCCAGAGAGCCTTCTACCGAACTGTTGAGAACGGGACGGGACCATGGCCAGCTAGCTGTCTGGCCACTTGCCGCTTGGGCTTCCTCCACTCCTCCTAGCCCTTCCCATTTGGGAACTGTCGCAGGAGTGGGTACCATGGGAGTTCACGCATTTCCTCGCCACCCCCAGGAAGCGTGCTTGGGGGGGGCGAGGAGTGGGGAGGCATCTGTCACCTCCCCAGCCTCATGGCCAGTGGGCAGCTGGGGCTCACTCAGGGCTCCGGGAAGGACGGCCCACAGCTTTGCCTGCCGCTGCCCACTTCCCTGGTAAACTGCGCGATTTCACGCGGCTCAGTAAGACTCGCACTGAGCAGTCCGTGTTCAGAGCGGGCTTCTAGCTCTCGGAGCCCATGTGTGGTAAGAAACACTGGGGAGGGAGAACCAGCTATGTCCGGGACGACCAGTAGAGCTTACGGTTCTCATTCTGCCTGGCACTGTTCTAGGCTGATCATGTTTTGATTGAACCTTCCAGTAAGTCTAAGAGGCGGTAGGTACCATCGCCATCCCCACTTCACAGATGAGACTGAGGAACAGAGAGGCGAAGTAACTTGCCCGAGGCTCCACAGCCAAGCCTGGAGGGGCAGGAATGCCAAGCGAAGCAGCATGCCCCAGGCCCCTCCATCCAACTGCACGCTGTCTGCCTGCCTCGCGTCCTGGCCTGGTGGCTGTGAAGACACAAACCCACGACAGGAGAGCCCCCCGCGCCGTGCCCCGCCCCAGTCGTGGGGAGGCCCGAACCACACTCCCATTACACCACAGAGTCCTAGGCCGCGCGTCTGGCTTGGGCCCCATTGTCTGCCACCCCCCCCCCCTCCATGCGCTGGCTGGGTCTTTGATGACAAAGGCATTCCTGCCGATCTCTGTCATCGCTGAGGTCCAGGTACCCGGGCTGGCGCTGCGTGTGCGCTGTGAGCGCGCACGGCCTGCCTGACGGCTTCGGGTCCTTCCTGCACACTCGGCTTGCACACGCCCCCAGCTCGCGCGACCCTGTGCCTGCCGCCGGGTGACAGGGGCTTGTTTGTTCTTGCAGGACCTGCCCGACTTGGAAGACGCTGACACAGGCGAGCCTCCGGAAGGCCAGAACGAGGTCATCAGCCCCGCGTCCCCACAGTCAGCCCTATGTCACTGTCACTCCGGTCCTGTAACTCACAAAGCACGGCTCCTTCGTGCACGTCAGGCGCCCCTGGCCCGCACCCCCGCGCCCCCGGGTCTCCCTTCTCCGAAGCAAGTGCAGCTGCTCACTCGCGTCAGGTCTTACGGTTAAGCCCTTGGGTCTTCCTGAACACACATCTGGCACTGATTTTTAACACCTGCTCATCGTACATGAGTACCTGGGAACAACCTTCTGTCCTTCTGACGTGGGAGGCGTTCATTTTCGGAATGCCTGTCCCGTAGCGACACACAGACGGGGAAGGGAAGGAGAGTGTCCGAGGCAGGATGGGGGTTCTCCCGCACGGACCGGCACTGCGAGGACAGTGTAAGACACCATCTCTGGGCCCAAGCCCATCGCCAAGGAAGGAAGCACGCACGAGCCCACAGTTCCCGTGGAGGACTCCCCTGCAAGGGGGCTACGTCCGGTGGGGCGCATGCCAGCCGGAGGCCGAGGCTCCGAGCAGAGCAGACCTGGAAGCCCAGGAGGGTGCTGGGGCAGCGGGCGCAGAGCGGGCGAGGAGAGTGTGGCTGGACCCCCGACGGAGGGCCGGAGAGGAGCCCTGCTGGAGAGCTCACCACCACTTTGGGGGCTCGGGAATTTGGCCAAGGGGCATGGGTCCTGAGGTCTCACGTCCCAAGGGCAGAGTGTGGGGCTCCCTCAGGCCCTTCTTGTATGTGACAGCAGAGTATCTTACGATCAATAAAAAAGCAGTGTCAGCGCAGGGCATTCTACAGTGACTATCGTGAAAGCAGAAACGTTCACACATCTTTTTTCTCTTAACAGATGCGCTTTCCAAAGATTATAACCATCTCAAGCTTGAGTGATGACAGTGACCCTGAACTGGACTACTCCTCACTCCCAGTGCCAGAGGACACCCCAAACGCCCTTTCAAACATATTCGCAATCCCCAGGGACCCGGCGAGGAAGGCCGAGACACCCTTCACCGACATATGTAAAGCAGCAGCCGAGAGGGACTCGGAAACGCCAAGGGGAGACACCAAGTCCCCACGCCCGCTGATCCAGGAGCTCCCCGGCGAGGAAGCTTCAGGCCAGCCACCGATGCCCCCAACCTGCCAACAGGATGGCACACCTCCCCCTTCCAGTGCGGACGGGGACAGTGACCTACTTCCAGCCTCTCTCCCAGGTACCACGACCCTACTTTCGAGACCACAGGGGTCCAGGCTTAGATGGGGGGAAGGAACTGCCGCTATCCAACCCCAGGGTAGCAGCCGACGGGTTGGAGGCCACTCACAACAGACCACGGAGACCGCTGTAGATCGTGTCCCTGCTCATGGCTGCTTGCTGGCCTGGGCCGAGGATGGCCACGTGGGTCTCGGCGGGGCTCGGGAACCTGTTCTCACCCCCGTCCACACCGCCCGACCCTTAGCCTCTCCAGACCCAGGCTTCTGAGGAAGGGTGAGCTCCGGTGACACGACAGGAGTGTGGGACAAAATGAGGGTGACTGCTGGCCTGAGGGTGGAGGATGGGGTGAATGCTGAGCGGGGTGCTGCTGGCGGGGAAGGGAGGCCCACTGGGCAGGGGGCGGCCAGAGCACCTGGCTGGGTGCGACAAGTCACCAGCTGACCGGTCGGCCTGGCCCGGTGCTGGGGGCCACGCACATGGCCAGGGAGAGGCACATGTGGGGGAAGCAGGGCAGTGTTCACAGGTAACGAGCAAACAGGGTGGGGCGCGGTGACGAGTTAGTCTCTGGGCCTCTACTGAGCCCAGGCGCTTCCTAGTCGACACTAGCCAGTAGCCAGGCTCCTTTCCCAATACCAGCTTGCGCGCCTGACTCGAGGCCCGCACGCAGGGGGACGTGAGGGGCTGACAAAGGTCCCGAGAACACAGCTACCTTCTCTCCTAACTCTTCAGGTGAGGCCACTGACGAGAATGAGGCGCGGCCTGAGACGGAGCTTGCCGAACCCGAGGCGGGAGAGGACAAGGAGGACATAGAATTTGGCTTGGACTGAACCCCAGGGTGGCCCTCCTGCCCCTAGGCTAACGGGGACAGCAAGCCGGCAGCTAGGGCCCCCCTGTGGGTACAGGTCACCCCCCTGGCTGGGCTCCCCTTCCTTCCAAAGAGTCGCAGTTCCTGAGAGCGCTGGGCGCCTCGGCTGCCATGTGCACCTGCCGCTCAGCCCCCGTGCGCCGGCCGTTCTCCTGCTCTCAAAGCAGGACGCGACCTCCCCCGCTCTCCGTGGCCTCGGCTGAGTCCTGACCATTACAGACATTTAGCATAGTGAGTCAGTGTTACTGGATTATTTCACACCCCCGCGAGTCCTATGTGATTCCTTTAACCAGGTACCGCTCTTCCCGTGTGATGAGAAATCTACGTCAGATCCTGGTGTCCTGTGACATTCTGAGGGGCTGTTTTCCCCGGAGGGGGGCAAAATCTTCCACAGAGCCACACGCTCAGGGAAGTGAATTCAGGCATCACACATCACAAGCGGCAGGAGGGGGCGCTGTGGCCCGAGAAACCGATCACGCCAAGCCCCGTTCAGCTGCCAAGTTTATTCACTCCCGAAACATGGGGCCAAAGCGTCTCCCTCTACAAAACACCGGATCACGGCAGAAACTGCTTAACAAACACAAACAGCAGCACCAGCAGCTGTGGACTGCCCGCGGGCGCGAGGGGCTAACGCCCTTACGTCACCCCGGCGTCCGGAGGGCGGGTGGGGGACGCGGCAGGCCCGGCTCCTGTGCGGTGCAGCCCCCCACCCCCTGGAGGGAATCCCAAGGACACGAACCTTCAGGACAGGCCCACTGGGGCCTTCTCAACGTGCCCTCTGGAATGATCTTCTAGCAAAAGCGCAAGTAGGAGAAACAAGTGTTGCTGTCCCCGCCGCTCCGGAAGCAGAAAGGCCTGCGCCCTGGATCCTGTGCTCTTTTCACTCCCCAGCTTCCAACCACGGAAGGCGCAGCAGGCCCAGGATGAAGGGCTCCCCGGAGCTGGGGGAGCAGCTTCCCCGGACCCTCAGAAGCCCATGCGGGGCTTCTTCCGCAGCACCTGCTGCCTGGAGGTCTGGGAGGAGGACACAGCGGCACCTCTCCGGGTGTTCCTTCCTGGCGGCAGCTCGGCCGTGCCATCCTGCAGGGTCTGGGGCCTGGAGGGCGTGGCCCGGCTGCTGGAGGTCCCGGAGAGGGGGGAGCAGACACCTCGTGGGGTGTCCTCTTGGAGCGGCAGCCTGGCCATGTAGTCGCGGAGAGTCTGCTGCCGCTCCGAGGGGACCCCCCGAGCCCACAGCTCCTGAGTCAACTCCTGGGAGGGCGGGGTCACTGGTGGCCGAGGCCTGGCCTCAGGGGACGCCCGGTCTGGGCTGTGAGGGGGGCTGGTGGCGTCTGAGAGGTCCAGGCGGCCGCTGAGCGAGGAGAAAGTACTGGACAGCTGAGTCCGGCGCTTGCGCCGCTTGGGCTGTCTGCCGGGCCCCGAGCTCCTGCCCTGCTGCCTCTCCCACCAGGCAGCCATCCGGCCTTCCCAGGCTGCCTCCAAACGTGCACTGAGCTCATCCTCAGGGCCTGGCTCGGGGGCGGGGGGCGGCCCCGCGGAGGGGAGCGAGCCCAGGTCCTTCTGCCGCAGCAGCCGCCCTGCAGCCATGGCCGCTCGGAGACCCTCCGGCCCCTTTTGCTCCACCTTCCTCTGTTCCATGCAGCCTAGCAGACGGCGGTGGGAGAAGGTGGGTGCTGCCCACACAGGCGGGGTCGGGGGCACGTCCAGCAGGGCCTTCAGCCACCGGCTGCAGCAGGCAGTGGCCTGGGGAGTCCAGGAAGCTGCGGGGGCACGGGAGTGAGGCCCAGGGTCTGCCTGGAGGTGGAGGTGCTGGTGGAAGACATCCCCAGCCGCCGAGAGCTGGAAGAGCGATAGGACTGGCTTGGAAGCCGACGATGGGATGGTAGCAGCCAGCCCTGGAGAGGGGAGTGACAGTGACGCCAAGGCCCAGCGGAGTGCCCCCCCTCGACTCCTTTCCCTGGCCCCAGCGCACCTATAGTTGGCGCTTTCAGGCGCTCCTGCAGGCGCCACTGACTCTTGGGCTCCAGCAGGGGGAACGCGGAGAGGGAGTCGCTGCTGGAAGGGAGAGACTGGGGGGGCCCCGCCAGCCGGGGTGCGGAGGCCCCCTCTCCTGGAGGAAGGAGAAACGGCTGAGGCCCTGCCCGTCTTCCTGCCCGCCTCCCGCCCTTGCTCGACTCTTACCTGCGAGGTGCAGCAGCTGCAGGTGCCCGCCCTGGCCCCCCAGGAGCAGCGGCTGGGGGTAGCCAGGGCAGGGCGGGGGCAGCAGCTGGGCCCACAGGGGAGCCGAGGGGAGGTCGTGGTCCCACTTCAGCATGGGCACCAAGGGGAGGCGCTCGTCCACCAGGTAGAGCGAGAACTGGGGGCGACAGGAAACAAGACGACAAGAAGCAAGACGCAGGGCTGTGACTGAGGAAGAACCTGACTGGGGCGGGGGGACGAGACAGGGCAGGGGGAGGGCTGTGAAGGGGGAGACGTGTGGTGGGGACAAGGCCAGACTGAAGGATGCTACAATGGGGCCGAATGGGCAGTTGTAGGGGGGCTGTGACCGAGGGGGGCCGCACCGAGGGGAGAACAAACCGGGGGTTGTAGCAACCAAGGAAGGCCACGATGAGGGCGGGTGCGCGGGCATGTGTGTGTGGGGGGACCCCATGACCGAAGGGGGCGTGACTGAGGCATGAGCAAAGTGTCCGATGGGACAAGTTGCTCTGTGTGGCTCTCAAGGGGAGTTCAAGCCCCAGAGCTGTCCCGGCACCGTGACCCCCTGACGCCCCCACCCCCGTCCCCACTATGAAGCACCACGTGGGGGGCATTTCCCAGTGTATCACCCGGAGCACCCCATGGGAGTGACTCTCAGGAGAGGTACAGAGCCGTCTGGTGGCACAGAAACCCCCCTGGCCTGCCTCAGGCCTTCCCTGAACCCGTCCAGCCCTGGGACCTGTGTCCGAGGCACACGGGCAACACCCCCAGGCTCCTGGGGGGGGGAGGGCACAGACCCTCAGACCGCCTCCCCTTCTCCTCAGCGCACAGGGAAACTGGCCCACTTTGTACAGCCCGCTGCCCGACACCCCATGCCTTTCCTCCTTCCCCGTGGGGCCCCCTTAAAGCTCCGCTCAGCGGCCCCTCCCCATGTGGCCTTAACCACCCGCCCGTTACGCAGTCCAACCCCAGACTCCTCAGAGTCTCCCAATGCCCGTCTTGCCTGAGTTGTCCCCTCTGACAGTGCGCAGGGGAGAGGAGGGGAGGGTGCTGCTCACCTGGGTACAGATGAGCTGGAGTGTGGGCAGTCGAGGCTCGGCGCCGCACTCCCCCAGGTACTGGCTCAGCAGGACCCGCTCCCCTTGCCGGCATGCTGCTTCTGCCCCGCCACGGAAAAGCAGCAGACCACAGCCGGGTGGGCCCTGGGGGAGAAACCCAGGTCAGCCCTCCCACAGCCCGGGGCTGTGCCAAGACCCCCGCCAGTCCCCTCACCAGGCGGGCAAGGCTCATGGCCCTGCCGCTCTCCATGCCCTCTGGGGAAGATCCCTGGCCCCGTATCTGCTCTGTCCCACTGCTATGCCTAGGACGGTCCCCTCCACTCACCTGAGTGTCAATAATTTTCACTCCAGTGCGGTCCCCCACAGTCAGCACCCGGGGATGAGCGGTGAAGTCTGCCCAACGCCAAGGAGAGGGGTCACAGAACACAAGGGTCTCAGGGTCCTTGTAGACTTGCTGCAGCCTTGGGGAGATAGGCCAGCCATGTCGGGCTGATGTCGGGGTGGCCGGGGTCCAGGACATGTTGCATGGGGAGCACGGGCTGGGGCTCGGGGGGAGCTGTTTATAGCGGTGGAGGATTTTCACAGGAAAGGGGCATTACCCATCCTGGGGGGTCCACAGACAGACGGCTCCGGAACGGCTGCAGACAGCCAGCTCCCCAGGCAGGTGAGGGCTGCAGGGCACAAGCAAGGTCAGCGGACCCCCCCCCCCAACCCCGTTCCCACACCCAGCTCCGCGCACACCAGCCTGACTGAGCCCCTCACCTGAGGCTGATCCCTGTGGCCCCCTTCCCGACCTGCAGCACCTGGAGAGGGGCGGCCCGCCCCTGCTTGCTGACCTTCCACAGGGCACAGTGGTAGTCAGAGCGGACAGCCAGCAGGGCTGTGGGATGGAGAGGGTCAGAGTTAGGTAGCAAGTCAGTCAGGGAGGGAGGGAGGCAGAGGGGGAGGGAGGCGTCCAGGGGACTCACATTCCCCTTGCACAGTGCGGGTCACCACCTGCCGGACAGGTCCTCGGAGCTGGATGTGGCCAGGGTCCCCGAGAGCCTGAGGGTCACCGCCTGGGGGCAGACTGACCTCTTGGAAACCTGGGCCTCTGGCTAAGGACAAGTCTATGAGCTCCGGTCACTGCAAGTCCCCCAACATCCTGCCATTCTCCTGGACCATGCCGAGAGCACCTCCTCCACCAGAGGGAGCCTCCTCCACCCCCTCCTGCCCCCTCCGAAAGGATACAGAGCGTGTCTAGAGCACCTCCCGCAGGGTAGACCAACTGTCCCACCTGCGGCGTCCCCCCGGGCACCCAGGCCAAAGCGCCCCCGGTGAATGCGTCGTCCAGGAGCAGTTGCTCCCACCGCATAGCCAGCTCCTCGTGCAGCAGCTCCCCCAGGAGGCTGGCCACTGACTTGCCCAGGACGGGGCCCCCGACAATGGAGAACCGGCGCTGTCGGTAGCTGAGGAAAGCCCAGGGGCAGCTGGGGACGAGGGAACGGCAGGAGGATCAGGCAGTGACGGTGACCGAGAGGAGGACTAGGTCCCATCCCAAGAGAGGCCAGGCCAGTAGATGCATATTTTTATCAACCTAGAATTTCTTCCTTTGGGAAATGATTCCACCCTAATCCCTGCTGCTAGGGTGGTCATAGGTTGCCTCTGGCCACAGTGATTGGCTCATGGAGGAGCCAGACACAAAGGCCACACCAACCACACCCTTCCCAGGGCTTTTGCTGGTGCCTCAGGAAAAACACTAGCTTCTTCCTTGAGATCATAAGCCATCTCACTGCCACTTAGGAACAGTATGTCCAGGAATTAAGCCAAACAAAGCCAAGTGAAGGAGAATATAAAGAGATAGAGCCCTAGTAACATTATGTGAACACCTAGATGCAACCATGCCTGCAGCCCATAAATCTAATTCCCCCTTCCACTTAGAGCTGGAGTTTGGTGTGAGGAACTGTGGCCCCTGACCACATGGGGCAGAGGAAACAACTCTGAGGGGACCCTGGATCAGTGCCCTGGCTGCTTCCACATCACCTCAGCTAGGCCTTCCCAGCCCGTCCTTTCTCACTAGCCACTTGCCCCCAGGGCTGGTGTCCACCGAGGTCCTGGAGTAGACTCTTCACACTGACCACTGTCTTCTTCTTAGAACGGCTCTGTGTGGAAAGGCCTTGTCAAGTTCGCACACCCGAGGTTACCCCGACAAGTAGGGAGCCCCCTCTCCTGGCTGGACAAAGGTTACTCACCCGTGCTCCCTCCAGTTTGAAATTCTCCAGCATCAGCTTCCCCAGGGGTGCAAAGGCTATGTCCCCATGGTCCCACAGGAAGCGGCTGAGCTACAGGAGAGGAGGCTGGGTCACCGCGCACAGCCCCCACCACTCAGCACTGCCCACTGTGGGGCTACTCACCTGCTCGGTAACGTCCAGCACAGCTTGGGGCTTCCTTCGGAACGGGAAAGCTCCCCGGAAAAGCAGGTCCTGGGCAGTCACCCCAGGGTCCCAGGGATCTGAGGGAAGAGTGAGGCTGGAGAAGGGGTTTGTTTGGGAACCAGAGATGGCCCAGAAGTGGGGCCAGGTATCCCAGATGACTGGAGGTCACCAGCAGGGAGAGGGAAGGCCTTTGGGTGGGAGGTGGGGGACAGAAGTGACAGGGGGAATGGCTTGGAAGGGAGCCCCAGGGCCCAAGACCCTTACCGGGACCAGGAGGCAGCAAAGGAAGGGGTCCGGGGGTCTCTGGCTCCCAGAGTAGGCCTGTGGCCAAGGGTGGCGCCTCATTCTGAGGAAACACAAGCCCGAAAGGAACACAGTCAGTGCAGTCCCAGGCCAGGTGCGGGCGCTGGCACGTTGTCTTTTTTTTAATTTTTTATTTGTTTTTTAATTTTTGTTTTAAGTAGGCTTCACGCCCAACATGGGGCTTGAACTCACGACCCTGAGATGAAGAGCTGCATCCTCTACCAACTGAGCCAGCCAGGTGCCTCTTCATTTCTTTTTAATTTGTAAGCACGTGTCTTACTAACTCGTTGGTACAACAGTCACTGGGGTGAAGCAGTGGAGGCACGGGGAGGCTCGCCCTGGGCAACAGCGGGTTAGGAGAAGGGCTGGGAGCCTGGGGCCAGCCCGTGCCTCTGAGCTGCGCCCCCCCGCCCCGCCCCCAGCCCTGGGCCATTACTGGCTGACCCTGTGCCACCTGATTCTCACTTCCACTCAGGACACCTCGTGCTGACTCGGGGAGCCCACAGGCCACTCCACTCCCCAGGGCTGAGCCGGCCCAAGACCACTCAGCTCCAACACTCAGGGGTACAAGCGCCAGCAAGCTGGGCTCCCAGAGGAGACTGAATGGACATTAAGCCCTTCCTTGCCAGGGACCCGCCCCGCCCCCCCCCATCTGCCTGACATCATCCTTAAGCAGCCTGTCTCCAAGCGGGAGCCAGATGGCTTAGGCTTCCAGGGCAAGCCCCTTGTCCTTCCTGTCCCAGGAGGCCTCTCCTCCCCTGGCTTCATTCGCACTGTGCTATGTGAGCATCCTCTGGGTTTCAGGCTGAGCTCTTATCACACAGGGTGATGATTCTATCCTTTGGTCGCTTGGTCCCACTGGCCCTAACCCTAAGTTCCACAGGGCAGGGGACGCCTCTGACTTCCTCACGCTGGGTTCCCGGGACCTAATGAGGCCCCCCTGTGCACTGCAGGGGCTCATCAGTGGGCATCGGCCGAGCAAAGGCAGGAGAGGGAGACGGAGGGAGGGGCGGCAGCCCGCGCTCAGGAAACCCTCTGTGGAGAGCGGCCGTCGCCGGCAACCCCAAGTGGAGATTCCGGCTCACCTGCGTCTTGGCAGCTTACTGCCAATGGCACCCCACCCGAGCCCGAGACCTGGTGTGAGTGCTGGGAAGGGGGGGCCAGGAAGGGGCCACAGCCAGGGCTCTCCCCGCTGCGCTCACCTTAGAGTTCTCGGGCAGTGACTCTGGCAGGGTCAGGGCGTCTCTCCAGCTACACATGAAGGACATGTCAGGGACATTACTCAGACCAAGGGGGCCAGTCACGAACAGCGTGGGTCGGAGGGAGCTGGGGAAGTCCATCCTGGAAAACAAGAACCACACATCACGCCTTCTCGGAAACTTGAATCTGAGCGTGCTTTCCAGGGTTCCTGGGAGAGTAAAAACTGCCCTAACAGGACTACATCTCATATTTTATTTCAGAAGATAGATAATAAAGAACAAACAGATATGCAGCCTACTGCCAGATATTAATAAGTACTAATATTAAAACCAACCAACCAACCAACCATGAGGCAGGGGATGGCAATGGTGATGGGCAGCGGAAGCCAGGGAAAGCCTCGCTCAGAAGGGGGCATTTGGCACGGCCTGAACCTAATGAGGAACAGAACCATGCAGACAACTGGGACGAGGGGTCCTGGCAGAACGAACAGCAAGTGCCGAAGTCCTGGGGTAGGAAAGTGTGAGAAACAGCTGGGAGGTCACAGAATGAACGGGGAGGAGAATGGGAGGCGGATGAAGTCACACAGGTGGTGAGGGGGCAGCTTCTACCGTAGCTCTCCTGTATTCCAATCACTCGTTGGTAGACCATGCACCTTACACCCCAGGTTACACTGCCAAGACCAACTCCAGTTCCCCCAAAGCCAGGACAGAGTCTTATTCGGCTGTCTTCCCACTTTCAAGCATAGTACCTTGTGGAAAATGCAACTGACCCTGTGCTGAATAACAGTAAATTTACGTCAAAGCGTTTTGCCAAATTCAAACTGCTCTAGAAAAATAAGCAGCCACACCATCCCTTCTTTTATTAACCACAAAAATAATAGCAGGGTTCACTTTCTGAACACCAGCAGCTGCAAGCAATGGGCTAGCTCTTTTATTCGTCTGTTTTCCCTATTCTGGAGTTCAAGAAACTGAAGCTCGGGGAACAGCAAACCCCCAAGGCCAACAGCTTGATCTCCCATCCAATTCAAAGTCTCAAGTTCTGCACCACTCCACTCCCAGGCATCCACAAGCAAACACCAGCATTAGCCTTGGTAAACAAAAATCTTTTCCCTTGGAACTGCCACTGCATTTGGCTGATTTATTCTGTGACCTGCACACATCCACGTACTCTCAGCACCGCGCAAAATACCCGCCACGCAGTAAAAGCCAATAATGCTTCTCAATGAACGAACAGGTGTATCCTATGGCACATCAGCCTCGCTCTAACTGCAGTCTCCATGTACAGCCTTATCTCTTTCCTGAGACTGGGAGCTCTCCTAAGGCAGGGACTGTATCTGATTCATTCCTGAGTTCCTGGCGTCCGGCTGTAGCCCTCACTCTCTTTCCCATAACAGGAGAGGGCACGAATCAAGGAAGTGCTCAGTGAATCCTTGTGCGAAACACTGGCTACCACAGGACGCACGGTCCTGACTGCAGTTATGAGCACCCACACCTCGCAGCGGTGGCTGCGTCCCTGATAAACCAGCGTGCGCATGTCTCCAAACAAGCGGCTCCAGCTCACCTCTAGCTCCTCTCTTGCGCCTGAGCTCCAATCACACTGACCTCCTTTGGGATTTCCTCACCATACTTTTCCCTGCAAACCATCTCTCCGCTTAGAATGAACGCCAGCACCCTTCCCATCCAACTACAAAATCCTACTCATCCTTCAGATTTTCAGACCGCAAGCCTCCCGCAGGTTCTCTCCTCCCAACACCCGCACCCTTCCCCCAGAGCACGTGTGTGATTAGATATTTAAAGATGAAACTATCTGATTCCAAACTGCTCTAACAGTCCCCATGGGAAAGGGACTTCATTTCTTCCCAGTGCCTCGGTATTTGCTCCATTGCAACAATTAGTACATATAAATTGAAAGAACAAACCCAGAAGTGAATGAGCCTCAAACAAAACCAGGCAGGCAGAGGGCGCTGGTGGAGCCCCCGACCATGGCAGAGGCCCCGCGGGAACCGCTCTGTGTGCGGGACAGCTGCCGCCACGCTTTGCATTTGTGGGGTCCTCCCGCTCCGTGAGGTAGGAGCTGACGACCCACCGTGCAGCTGTGGGGCGATGTGTCCCAAATTCACAGAGCGTGGCGCCCGCGGACCCGCGCAAAGGCCAAGCCCGAGCTCCGCTCCCGGCCGGGGGACCCCACCCCCCCGCCGTCCCGGCGGCGCGCGCGCTTACGTGGCCCAGGCCCCGCTGTGCTCGTCGAGGACTTGGACCTGCGCGGGACGCTCGGCCGACCCACGAGCCACGAGGCAGCCGGCCAACTACGCCCCGACTCCAACGCCCGGGATGGAACGGCAACACCGGGGAAATTAACGGTCTTCCGGGCCGGACCGGAAGTACTCCCTCGAAGGCAGGAAGTCCCGCCTCCTAGCCTGGCCTCCGCGGGCGCCCTAGAGCGCCACCTCCCGGGCGGAGGGGGAATGGGAGTGGAGGCGCCGCCTTGCGCAGTGGAAGTACAGTTCCGTCAAGTCTGCGTACCTGTAAGGCCAGCGTGACCGCGGGTTCGAATCCTGTATCTGCTTGACTTCCTGTTTCAAGGCTTGTTGTTGAGTATTAAGTTAATTCATTCAACAAACACTCACTGAGCACCAGTATGAGCCAGGCACTGTATTAGTGACTAGAAATCCAGTGAATTGTTCTCATACCCTATGAAGCCAGGCTTTACTACTAGGGGTACGGTAACCCCTGGAGTGCATGAGGCGCTCCCAGTGGTCAAGCAAGTATAGCTCTAGGCATATGGTGACTAACATAACATAATAAAATAAAATTAAAAAAAAAAAGTATAGAGTGCCTGGGTGGCTCAGTTGGTTAAGCGACTGCCTTCGGCTCAGGTCATGATCCTGGAGTCCCGGGATCGAGTCCCGCATCGGGCTCC